ACACACACACACACACACACACACACATACACACCGCTGCCATCAGAAGAGAAAAGAATACTGACTTTATGTTTAACGTTTTTTCAGCAATATAATTTCATTCAAGATTTCCGAAGTCTGTGTGAGAGGTGGATGGATGAGGACATCGATAGGTCTGTGTCTCGCTGACAGTTTGGAAGCAAAGGCATAGCAACAGGAGATTTACGTTCATAGAGGAAAAGAGCTAGAAAAGTGATGATGCACACCAAGCAGGGCAAAGGAACTGTGCAAAATAACAATGGCAGTATCAAGAAGAACAGTAAAGGCAGCATCCCTGCGAGTAATAGTTGATGAAAATGTTGACTTCATTGACATTTTGATGGAACAGCACGGCAGTCTGCTTTCAGAGGAACCAACCATTATGGATTGTGAATTTCAGAATGTATTATATCAAGAAAAGTTATACTATAATAATCTTCACTTTTATCCGCTCATTTGTTGAATGATATTCACTTTTGATAAATTTCAATTGTATTTTACTTTTAAATACTTTGAATTCAACTGGGGAAGATCGGTTAATTGACGTTTTTTATGTTCATTCTTAGGGCTTTCAACAAAAGATGCAATGAACTTAGTTCACTGCAGTGCACATCCCACTGCATTTAAACTGTCACATATATAACTTAAGATATATGTACAGCAGGATATAGCACAACTGTGGCAGCTTACTATTGGTGTTATTGAGCAGATGAGTGTAGAAACTTTTAAATATTGCATTGTGTTATGATTATATCATATGGTTATGATATTCAGTAGTAAATTCACTTTATTTATAACAGTCCGGATATGCAGAAAATTAGTTATCAGTCCTCACATGTGTATTTGTGGTATTTTCAGAATTTTTCAAATTAAAAGGGCGTATTTTTGTTAATCTAGTCGAAGTACAATTTATATATATTTTTTTTTTACTCCATTATTATTGTCGTGATTGACATGAAAGATATTTAACTTTTTTTATTCTTTCAAACTTGTAAAAGTTTCAGGTTATTGTTAGATATCTAACAGAGTTATATGATATAATGATTTCATGTTCCTATTTTAATGGATTTTGGTGCTTTATTTTCAGAATCAGTAGTAAATTATGCAAAGATAAAAGAAAGACTTCCTCATGATTAAGTGTTCATGCTTTATTTTCACAACATTGTATTTGCCAGTATTGGAATTTTAATGAGAATGATAAAAAATTATTTGTATTGGAAATATGAAAGCAAATGTATGAAGTGTATAAATTACGATGATTTAACGAGAAAAAAATACCCAGTCACATACAGTGACAGTCTGTTATTTTTTTACAAGCATTTTTTCTTTGAAGAATTTTGGTTAATCCTTAGTTATGTAAAAACGAAGCAAAATAAGCCTTCTGGAGTGGTCTGGATATTATTTGGAAAAATTTCAAATGTATTTTCTTGTATATTTTGGCTGGTCCATGAAATCTAACTATATTAGAAGGGATTTCATGAATACCCCTCTTATTGTTATTTCATGATAGGTTCTTATGAATAAAGAAATGCTAAAAATGCTGTTATGAAATCATTATACTGACATGAGAAGCAGAGTGATAAAGTAATAAACATCACTTTTTTCTTAGCAAAATGATAAACAGCCGCTGGTGCCTATACTCCTTGGCACATTCCCATTTAAGATAGTGTCATTCAGATACTTTTTTAAAACGCACAGAAATATGGTGAGAAATTGGATTATTTTTTGTTTAGTTTCTGTATACGTCTTGATAATCAATTACTCACTCTAACTTTTTTGAGTGTGGCATAGATGGAAATAGAAGCCCAATATTGGGTCTCCCATACCTTAGGCCTCAGCTCTCGGCAAACACGGCAATTGTTACCAAGAGCGATTTTTTTCTACAGGAAATCCATTGTTTTCAGCGATTCTTGCAAATGAATCGTTCATGAGATGCGAATACCATTACTCCATCGACTATTATATCAGGGAAATTATGGTGTAAAACAGGCTTAGGTAAAAATCAGGGACAATAATGCATAAAACCAGCACAAAAACAATTTAAAACTCTACGGGATTCCAACCCCATCTTTCAGTAAAATCTACGAGTATTCACACCATTCAAATCCAAGAAACGTCTTGCCCATAACCCAACCTAGCCTAACAATCTAAGTTGCCATGACTAGCGGACTGACCGAAGGGAGGGTTGATGGGAAATATTCTCATTTCGTTATGTACAATATAAGAGCTGCGTACATGCTGTAAACCAAATATTTTTCTATCTGGAAACACCAAACTTTCGTTCGCTTCTTTCTACTGAATTGTTTCGTTTTTAATGAGAATACGGCATTTGGGGAACTTGAAACTTCAAACTGGGATGGATACTAAAATTTATTTCTTATTTGTTCGCAATGTATTGCTTTAAGAATAAGCCAGAATCAACACAAGACTGAATACTAAACATTTCTAACCGGCCTCATGTCATGGAATGGCTGGGAATGGC